TGATGCAGGTAAAGACCAAGCTCTCACTGCCTAGGGTCAGAGCAGTGTTCCCAACTGTGTGTTTAATAAAAAATAAATAAAAGACTGTCCCCCAGCAGGTGAGGCATTTGCAGGGGTAAATTGTATTTTCTATCCAGTGCTGTCCATTGCAGTAATCAGTTTTCGCCACAAGATGTCCTCAGTCTGCCTGGTTGAATGACACCCAGTGTTACTAAATGCAGAAGACCAAGGACTGCACTGTTACCGCAGGGCTTTGTGGGTCCAGCTTCCTAGGGGGCACCACCACACCGCCATTCAATTAAATAGGGTATTGGTATTGACATTGTCATGCAAGCATCGCTCTCTCCATCACTGAGGACTCGGTATGAGCTTGGGTCGACCATCAGTACCGCCCAAACCCACGCTGTTCGCAAATCTCTGAATGGGTGAACCAATTGCCCAGTTCGCCCGCCTGCCTCCCATGTGTCTTAACAAGCAATTATCATTGGTTGACTGGTGGCTGAGCCGCACAGCATTATTGCTTGCCAGGATGCAGGTAAAGACACTATAACATCTTATTGCGCTATGAGGTTGCCAGCACCTTGGCAACCAATGAAACTGAGCAGGTGAACATCCAAGTGAGCCGGCCCCTGCCCAGTTTCCTGATCATTATTGAGGACTGCAAAAAGAGAGTGGACCATGCAGCATCATGTGTTCATCCTGAACACTTCTAGAAAAGGTTACTATTAAAAAATACATCATATAATAAAGCCTTTAGAGGCGGAGGGAATGCAGAGCTCGGAGGTGGGCTTTAAGAGTCATACCTGTGCTGGGACCGGCCATATACAACGTACTTTATATTCTTTTTTGCCGGTTCAAGCAGGACCATTTACTGTGCTGACTGCTGTTTTCCTGTCCTGTTGCTATAGCTTTGTTTTAGAAAATTTCAATCTAAGTTGTAACAAGTATTTACAGGTACCGGCATAGTTCATACATCTAAATGACACAAATACATGCAGGTATGGAAGGAAAACAAGTCTTGTAAAATAGTGTGCATGTGGCATATTCTGATCATGCCAATGTAGAAATGAGAGGCTTGTTGGCATTGGCAGACAGCAAGTTTTCTAACCCGTCCCAATAGCCTGCAGGCTGGATTGGATGCTCCCTTTAAAATTCACCTGTCATTGCGTGTCACTGTAGTTAAACTTTCTGGGGTCTATTCACGAAGCAGCCGAAGGATCTAGTCGTAGCTTCGGCTGATCCTTCGGCTAGCTTTTGGCACTATACCCCATACATCTCCCGAAGTTGGCAGAGTGGCTCAGTCGAGCCGAAGGCATATGCTTTGGCTCGACTGAGCCAAGGTAAAAGCGGAAGCTGGCTGAGTGGCCGGCATTGGCCGGCCGAAAGCCTGCTTCTGACAGCTGGGCTGAGCCAGCCGTGATTTTACGGCTGGCTCCGGCCACTTGCAGAGAGATCAGCGTCCCTGGCTACCAGCTAACCAGGGACACTGATCTCCAGACAGCCCAACTCTCCCGGGCGCTCCGGGAGTCTCCCGCTCCCGGCCGCTCAGGAGAGAAACACTGCTTTATTTTTTGTTTATTCTGACATGGAGCCGTTGGGCATGTGGGCATGTGTACCCTGTTTCCCCGAAAATAAGACCTAGCACTATTTTTGTGAATTGCTAAAATATAAGACCTACCCCGAAAATAAGACCTAGTTGTGACCATTCCCAGGGCCGGTGGTGGCATAAGGGGGAACTTGAAGAGCCGTGGGAGGGACGGGAGAGAGTCACGGTGCCAACGCAGCTGGCGCTAGAGGAAGCGAGGCGGCAGCGGAGGGAGCAGAGCCGCACAAGCCGATGCCTCCTCTATAGCGCCGGCTCCTGTCACCGGCGGAGTGATACCAAATGCTCTCCGCCTGTGATGAATCGATTGAGCGAAGCACGCTTTCCCTTTCTGGTTACCAAATTGCTCTTGGAAAGGTACGGCACCCCTGATCACCTTATTCTTAACTTTGCCATTTTGGATTATTTATTTTGGATTTGCATTAACTTTGGATTGTTGTACATTAAAAAAAAATAAGACCTACCCCGAAAATAAGACCTAGTGTGTTTATTTGAGCCTTGACAGTGTCTTATTTTCGGGGAAACACAGTAGTATGTTCTATCCTTCTGGCCTGCCCCCTCTCTTGCACTTGCTGGCAATTATCAAGTGTCAAAATGACAGCCAGGAGTGCTGCATAACCAGACCATCTGGCAAAGTGTTTATAAACATTGATCAGAGGGAGATCGAGAGATACAAAGTAACATTGTATATAAACAGTGATCAGAGGGGGAGATAGAGAGATACAAAGTAACATTGTTTATAAACATTGATCAGAGGGGAGAGAGAGATACAAAGTAACATTGTTTATAAACATTGATCAGAGGGGAGAGAGAGATACAAAGTAACATTGTTTATAAACATTGATCAGAGGGGAGAGAGAGATACAAAGTAACATTGTTTATAAACATTGATCAGAGGGGAGAGAGAGATACAAAGTAACATTGTTTATAAACATTGATCAGAGGGGAGAGAGAGATACAAAGTAACATTGTTTATAAACATTGATCAGAGGGGAGAGAGAGATACAAAGTAACATTGTTTATAAACATTGATCAGAGGGGAGAGAGAGATACAAAGTAACATTGTTTATAAACATTGATCAGAGGGGAGAGAGAGATACAAAGTAACATTGTTTATAAACATTGATCAGAGGGGAGAGAGAGATACAAAGTAACATTGTTTATAAACATTGATCAGAGGGGAGAGAGAGATACAAAGTAACATTGTTTATAAACATTGATCAGAGGGGAGAGAGAGATACAAAGTAACATTGTTTATAAACATTGATCAGAGGGGAGAGAGAGATACAAAGTAACATTGTTTATACACATTGATCAGAGGGGAGATAGAGAGATACAAAGTAACATTGTTTATAAACATTGATCAGAGAGAGACAGAGAGATACAAAGTAACATTGTTTATAAACATTGATCAGAGAGAGACAGAGAGATACAAAGTAACATTGTTTATAAACATTGATCAGAGAGAGACAGAGAGATACAAAGTAACATTGTTTATAAACATTGATCAGAGAGAGACAGAGAGATACAAAGTAACATTGTTTATAAACATTGATCAGAGAGAGACAGAGAGATACAAAGTAACATTGTTTATAAACATTGATCAGAGAGAGACAGAGAGATACAAAGTAACATTGTTTATAAACATTGATCAGAGAGAGACAGAGAGATACAAAGTAACATTGTTTATAAACATTGATCAGAGAGAGACAGAGAGATACAAAGTAACATTGTTTATAAACATTGATCAGAGAGAGACAAGATATGGATTACATTATCTTAAAAAAGAACTCCAGGTAGAAGAAATCTTAATTCTTGCAGAAAGGCTACAGCAGACCTGTAAGTAAAAGTAGATAAAGATCAGGTTTCCTGCCCTGCTAGACAGGGCTGTGCTATGTGACAGAGCTGTGTAACTCTTAGAACTGGATAGAAATGCAAATCCTTTGGCAGGTAAAACAGCTTGTATATATGTATTTCATCGTTGTATTTAGTAGGGATGCATCAATATATCTGCCAGCGAAACATAGCGGCCGGAAATGGCACTTTTGGCATAATACCCAGAGTGCCATTTTCTCTCGATACAGCGGTGCATCCATTGTTTCTCTCCTCCCCGCTGGGCGCTGCTCTGTGTCCCAGCGGGGAGGAGAGAAACTGTCACAGGCGGTCGAGCGCTGCGGGAGGAGAGTGCTGTGAGCGGCTGGTGTCTCTCCTCCCTGTACCAGTCAGCCTTCTATCACAGTCCGACAGAGCAGTGTGTGGGCGGAGACAACCAGCGCTGTCGGCTGAGCTCTCCTCCCGCACCACTCGCTCAGCCTCCTGTGACAGCGTGTCAGAGAGGAGAGCGGGTACAAGCAGTCAGTGATCGCTGAGTGTTTGTACATAATTGGAGGACAGAGTATGGTTACTATATCCTCAATTATGAATGAATGGGAACTGATCTACATCACATCTACATCACTTCCTGTTCATTCATGATTGTGGTTATAGTAAACATACTCTGTCCTCATGTTATGAATGATCAGGAACACTCAGTATAGAGGATCCCCGTTCATTGATAACAGGGGCTGCAGAAAAAGGCTCTGTGTCCTCAATCTCTTTTTCTATTTTAAAAGGGAAATGTCAGAGGTCTGTTTAGAACCTGCAATATTTCCCTGAAGCCCCCAAAAGTAAAGTAAAAAAAATAAAAATATTTAATAAAAAATGAATAAAAATAAAAAAAATTACAAAAGTTTATCAAAAATAAAGTAAAATTAAATATTATTTTTTTTAAAAGTTAAAATAAAAAACATTTTCGGTTTTGGCCTGAGAATTTTCTTTTATTTCGGTTTTGTTTCGGTTTTGAAATTTTCATTTCGGTGCACCTCTTGTATTTAGCTGTGTGCCTGGAGTTCAGCTTTTAGTTGCAAACAACATAAAATATCTTATTTCCAATTGAATGAATATAAAATGTATTGTGTTCTTTTTTTTTTTGCAGCCTCCAAGATGGCTCTGTTACTGCCAATCCTCCTGGCTGTATTGGCTTCTATTCTCGGAGGTCTCTACATGTTGGGAATGTTCCGGAAGAGGAAACCCAATGAGCCACCACTAGACAAAGGGACCATCCCGTGGTTAGGATACGCCCTTGAGTTCCGTAACAACTCAGCCGCCTTCTTGCAGAGGATGCAGAAGAAACACGGAGAAATTTTCACAGTTCAGATCGCCGGCTATTACTTCACCTTTGTGACAGATCCGCTCTCCTTTGGTACCATCGTCAAGGAATGCAAGACAAAGCTGGACTTTGAGCAGTTTGCTACAGAGTTGGTGGCCCGGGTGTTCGGCTACCATTCTGGACCCAGTGACCACAAGATGCTGGAGAAATCCAGCACGAAGCACCTCATGGGTGATGGTCTTGTAATCATGACCCAAGCTATGATGGACAACCTGCAAAACCTGATGCTCCACGAAGTTGGACCCGGAAACGGTGAAAGAAAATGGTGTCAAGAAGGGCTTTTCCACTACAGCTACAACATTGTCTTCCGAGCCGGCTACCTGGCTTTATTCGGCAATGAACCAGGTAAAAGCAAGGATGGGGCGGAAATGGCCAAGAAGCTTGATCGCGACGTCTCAGATGAACTGTATAATGAGTTCAGGAAGTACGACAAGTTGTTCCCACGTCTGGCTTACGCCGTACTGACGCCAAAAGGCAAGATGGAAGCTGAAAGGCTAAAGAGGCTCTTCTGGAACATGCTTTCCATAAAGAGAACCCTACAGAAAGAAAATATCAGCGGATGGATCACCGACCAGTTCCAGTATAGAGCTGAAAATGGGATGACGGAAGCTATGCAAGACAGGTTCATGTTTCTTCTCTTGTGGGCCTCTCAGGGTAATACAGGACCCGCGTGTTTCTGGCTCCTTCTTTTCCTCATGAAAGACCCAGAAGCCATGAAGGCCGTCAACGAGGAAGTTCAAAAAGTTCTTAAGGAAACCAACCAAGAAGTCAAACCTGGCGGACCACTCATCAACCTCACCAGAGATATGCTGCTGAAGACCCCGATTCTGGACAGCGCGGTGGAAGAGAGCTTGCGTATTACAGCCGCTCCTGTCCTGGTAAGAGCCGTCAAAGAGAGCCTGAACCTCAAAATGTCCAGCGGGAAAGAGTATGCCATCCGTAAAGGTGACCGCGTGGGTCTTTTCCCGTACACTGCGGTCCAAATGGATCCAGAGGTCCATCCGGAGCCGGAAAAGTTCAAGTACAACCGCTTCCTGAATGAGGATGGCACCAAAAAGACTGAGTTCTACAAGAACGGGAAACGACTGAAGTATTTCACAATGCCGTGGGGAGCCGGGACCACCATTTGCCCCGGGCGTTTTTTCGCAATCAACGAACTCAAACAGTTTGTGTTTCTTATGCTCTTGTATTTCGAGTTTGAGCTTGTGAATCCCAACGAAGAGATTCCACCCATCGACCCCAACCGTTGGGGTTTTGGAACCATGCAACCCACCAAAGATGTCCAGTTCAGGTACAGGTTACGCTACTAGACCACGAAGACAACATCCTCAACAGGACCATCATTTGTACAACATTTAATAGAAATATAACTAAAAAATAAGTTCATTTTGGGGACGTTAATGATGAAGGAACTATTTTTCGGCCCTGTTTACCATAAATATCTATTCCGGTAAACGGGAAGTTTAACATTATTGAAATTCTCAACCTGATTGGGCTCTTGAAGTGAACACAACCCATGGTAAAAATCTTAAACAGCCCCAATTGTACACAATATTACGACAGTAACGTATTGAGAGTATAGATTGTACAACTGCTTTGTTTTGTAAAAAGAAAATGTTTTCTTTGTGTTTACTGATGAAAAGATTTCCATCCACAGAAGATTAATGTTATATTAAAGTCAAAGATTTTTTAAGCTACTTCAAATGCTCATGAAATCACTTACAATGGAAGCTGCTCCTTGATGTATAAAAGTTTTATATTCCTGCAGAATCAGTTGGTCCCCTGAGCACTGGCCCTGACTTCCTGTTTTAGGGTGACTCCTTTCCCTTGGAGAGTCCTACGGAGCCACCCTTGTGTATGTTTGTGTGTGTCTCCACAAACACACAGACACAGTAAAGCAAGTCCCTCCCCTCCCCCCCCCTCCTGCTTCCTCTCTTCTCCAAGCTAGTAGGTGGACGAATGCTGCAGACTGCTCTGTCCTTTTGTGATCTCAAACTGGACAGGGCGTTCAGGGAAGCCAAACTAAGAGAGTTGGAGCTGCTTGGAAACATGATGACTGTAAGTGCATGGGGTGAAAATATAAAGAAATACTTTGCTGGGCGATCTATATTTGTTTGATTTGGATTTATTATTTGAAAAAAACAAATATCCATTGTGTAAAATATAATAGAAATATTATCACAGATTTACATCTGGCGTTTGTCATCTGTCATTCATATAAATCATTATAGCACCATAGAAAGAGATGGGCTTCCACTGATGACCTTCTGAAAATGCCACCTGCACGGCTGTCATACCGATCCGATGGCTTCAGTGGTTTTGGAACCACTGGCAAGTATGCAGATCAGGAGTTCCGACACAGATGTTGTGTAGGGTCCAGGGGACGGAACCAAGAATCCAAGTGGAGTGGTGGTGGGGGGAGGGGGGGTTTTTTCCGCCCTCACCCTGCAGCGCCCTCAGGCGGCCGCCTGACTTGCCTTGCGGTAGCGCCGGGCCTGGGTGGATACAATGTAAAACTGCATTCTGTATGGAATATCTATAGATCCATATCTGTTGATAAACTCAATCTTCAAAATGAAAAGAAAAAAATGTTGTCTGAACATTCTAAAGAAACTTTACACCTCCGGGAGTGTTACATTGGGGGAAGCTAAAACTCCCGGAGGTGTAAAGTTTCTTTAGAATGCTCAGACAACATTTTTTTTTCTTTTGATTTTGAAGATTGAGTTTATCAACAGATACAATCTATAGATACTCCATACAGAATGCAGGTTTACATTGTATCCATATTTGTTTCATTGCTCAAGGAATGTCTTCTACTCTACATATTGTGTGTAAATATTGCATTGCTTCTCCAAAGTCTTCCTCTCTCTAGATCAGGAGTAGCCAAAGTCTGGCCCTCCAGCTGTGATGAAACTACAAATCCCGTGAGTCACTGCAAGACTCTGATAGCCACAGGCATGACTCCCAGAGGCGGAAGAATAATGGGAATTGAAGTTTTACCATAGCTGGAGGCCTGAAGTTCGGCTACCCCTGTTCTTTATGTTTACCTTTATTGACCAAACTTAGAAATGTCATCTAGCTTGTCCCATCAGATGTAGACTGAAAGCCAATGGTGCCCCCTAGTGAGGAAGCTTGTCCCCTCAGATGACGATTGAAAGCCAATGGTGCCCCCTAGTGCGGAAGCATTTATTATGCATACAAGCCACCTATGTGATACAACATTGGAGTTGACAGGTACTCTTTAAGATGACACTAGGGGTCTAAAAGACCCCAAGATTCACCTTTCCACTCCAATGAAGCTATTGGAGTGCAGATCACGCTCCACTAGTTTCTTCACTCGGCTTCTGCAGCCGAGCAATGACAGCCAAGGGACCAGAAGTGATGCAATCAGCGTCGCTTCAGATTCCTTAAAGCGGGGAGGAGATTGAGGAATGGACGTTCACTGGTCTCTCTCTCTCCCTGCTTCCCGCAGACACCCAAAATGCCGGTTCCCAGGCACGCAGGAGGGGCAGTGAAGCCTGGGTAACAAGGTGGGGGTGTCAGGTGAGCGCTGCCTTCCATCTTCCCATCACTTCCAACAACTTCCTGGATTCCCAGTGTGCTTTGTGTCTCTTTCCCTGCCGCTTGATGTGATGCAATCTCCATTTCTCAAGACTACATATCCCATCATGTATTGCTTCCAGCAAGCAATGACATTGTTACATTGTTCAGACATTGAGTTGTAGTTCAGGAGGCGGGCCCTGTGAGAGCGGTGACACCAGGAAGTGCATAAAGGAAGTGGAAAGCTGCCAAGGCCCTGCCGGAGGAAAGAAGGGAAAGAGGAGTAAAGATTTTAGCTCAACCTCTGCTGTGATCCTTGAGAATGAAGCTCTCCATAGTACCTGCAGCTGCATCGATACATTTTGCCCATCAACAATTTCTTAACCTTTTGAGTACCAGCCTGTAACACCCCTTCCTTTCCAGGTCATTTATCAGACTCCGCGCTGTGATAGTTGGACTGACAATTACTCGGTCATGGGACGCTGCACACAAATACATTTTATATCACGATATCATGGAGCTTTCTTTTGGTGTCATTTAAACCCCGCTGGGTTTTGTTTTTTTATTATAAAAAGGAAATAAAGTTTCCTTACTTTGTGTTACAATAAACATCCCCGGGCAGTACAAACACCCCCGAAATGACAATTCTTTGGAAAGTAGACTCCCCAAGGTTATCTTATCTTTGTAAATGAAGAAACGTCCGGTATTGAAGGGGTTAGGACATGGTAACGGTGCACTAGATGCAGCACATCCGGCCATACACAGAGGGATGCAGCAGCAGCAACAATGTATTTGGCATAATGGAGGCTGAAGAATACAAAAAATCTGGTTTAAATAATCAATTGAAGCCCAACTCTGAGTCCCCCCACCTCCCCCCCATGGCTGAGTATTTGTCACCCCTCCCAATGATGGAATTATTAATATTATTATACAGGATATATATAGCGTATATATACAGTTTGCGCAGCGCTTTACAATATAAGGAAGACATTACAAACAATACAATTCAAGACAAGACGTGGTATCAGCAGAGAGTGTTGAATCATTCAAAAATCAATTAGATACCTTCCTCAGAGACCGTAACATACAGGGGTACAGGTACTCCTAAAACCTAGGACCACACAGGGACTCACAAACACATACGCACGCACTACACACACGCTTACACATAAGGTTGAATGTGATGTGCCTGTGTCTTTATTCAACCTCCAATACTAACTATGCATGGTAAGGAGGGATCAGGTGTCTCCAGTGAAGGTTCTGTTGCTTCTACAGCATGCAAAGACATTGCAGACAATTGTGCTCCTCCAGCCTTGTGGTCACAGTTTGGTGAAGACCCTTTTCTGTTCCACCATGACTGTCCCCTGTGTACAAGGTCAGCTCCATAAAGACATGGTGTGATGAGGTTAGTAGGAACTCGAGTGTCCTGCACAGAGCCCCGACCACAACCCTACTGATCACCACTGAGGTGAATTGGAACATGAATTATGAGCCAGGTCTTCTCATCCAACCTCAGTACCTGACCTCTCAAATGGGACAAATTCCCACAGACGACCTCCGAAATCTTGTGGAAAGCCTTCTCAGAAGAGTGGAGGCTGCTGTAGTCCGAAAAGGGGGGCAGTATAAATCCAGCTGCATAAAGACATGGTCTGACCAGTCTGATGTGGAGGAACTCGAGTGTCCTTCACAGAGTCCTGGCCTCAACCCGACTGAACATGTTTGGGATAAATTGGAATGCCGATCGTGAGCCGGGACTCCTCATCCATCATCAGTTCCTGACCTCACAAATGCTGTTTTGGCTGAGTAGGCACAAATCCCCACAGACACCCTCCAAAGTCTTCCCAGAAGAGTGGTGGATGTTATATATGAGGTGAGTGAAAAGCACTCACCTCATAGTTCTTCCTTAAAGACCTTGGTTTTGGGACATCCAACACATTCATATAAATGTGATGACCCAGTGTCCACAAACCTTTGTCCATATGGAGGTTGATTAACCAAAGAAGTAGAACATGATCACTTAATATAGTGAATGTGGTGAAAGGTCACTCTGCAAACAATACACAATCACGTGCAAGGGAAATGTAACAAGTTGACAGCATTATATCTCTCATCCAAGCGGCTTCATCAGTTTGAATAAGGCTTGGTAACATACCCCAATCAGGGCCAATCTGACCCCAATATTTATGTTATACATGGGCAACTCAACCACCTCATTGCAATCATGTCATGAAATGTATCATTGCAGATGTTTATTGTCCGAGAACCTGACTACTGGTGTGAACAGTTGGAGACATGTTGTTATAAAAACTGACCACAAGATGGCGCCAAAAGCTTTCTGTATTTATTAACAAACACTTTAAAGGGTAACTTCTGTATCTTCAGTCATTTGAAGGGCTGATGATCTTTTTTGTGTTTGTGTTTATAGCTATTCTTTTCTCTTTCAACTCAACCACATGTGTCCACGGATTCAAATTCTGCAAAAATGATGCGCTGTGATTGCAAATGTTTAAAGGAGAGCTACGGGGTTAAGGCTTTTCCTCATAGTTCTCCTTAGGGTAACGGGAGGACACAAACTAGCGTCCTCCCATCACCCTAAGCTCAGTATACCGCAAGCTGCTGCTCGCGGTATACTGAGACCACGCAGCTGAAGCCGATCCCGACAATTATGTCTGGATCCTCCCAGCTGCGTGACTGACAGCTGGCTCTGCCTATCTAGAGGCAGAGCCAGCTGTACCCGCCCCCTCCCCCGTCCGTTCTGCCAGTCAGCGCTGGCGGATCGGAGCAGGGAGGGGGGAATCCAGCCCCT